TCATATTTTAATAAATTTTAATCAATATGATAGAAGAAATGTGTTACCTCTAATAATAATAGTAGTAGAAGTCAAAAATGCATATAATTAATCTTTTGAGCAATAACTGCTGCTATTACTGTTATCTTCTAGGTGGCATATTTCGATTTTTTTAGCTTCAACTCTGCAATAGAGTTATATTCTGTTCTTTCTGAGACACTTAGCACCATTCTTTGTCTTGCTACACAGGTGTCTGATCCTCAGAAAATGAAGGTTTTCTTGGTTTCTTTGTATTACTTGTTTCCTGCAATCATTCTTGTGCTGCTTACTCCAATTCCCAGTGCACAGTTAACGACAAGTGAGAACAGAATCCTTCTCCAAGTTCAGAAGCTTCTTGAATATCCTCAAGCTCTTCAAGGATGGAACAACATGACCAACTTCTGCTCCCTCCCTCCCTCACCTTCTCTCAAGATTGTGTGCTCTAATGGCCATGTAACCGAGTTAACCATCATTGGGAACAAGACTTCTCATTCTCCTCACAAAACTCAGCTTGTGTCTTGGAATTCATCTGAGACTCTCTCAGAAAGATTCTCCATTGAGTCTTTCTTTACTGTCTTGACAAAGCTTTCAAATCTGAAGGTGTTGTCATTGGTGTCACTTGGGTTGTGGGGTCCTTTGCCATCCAAGATTGACAGTTTCTGGTCCCTTCAAGTGCTCAATATTAGCTCAAACTTCATCTATGGGGAAATCTCATCATCAATTTCCTCTTTGAGAAGCATCAGGAGTCTTGTTTTGGCTGAAAATCTTTTCAATGGGAGTGTGCCTGATCTTGGGAGACTGGCTTCTCTTGAAGAGATCAACTTAGGTGGCAACAAATTGGGTCCTGGATTCCCTTCACTGAGCAAGAATATTGTGAGGGTTATCTTGAGAGACAACTCTTTGAGATGTAGAATTCCTCCACAGCTCATGCAAGTTTATAAACTTCAGCTACTTGACATCTCTTCCAATGTGATATTTGGAAATATCCCATCATTTATTTTCTCTCTTCCTTTCCTCAAGTACCTAAACTTGGCTGCAAACCAATTAAGTGGCTCCCTTTCTGTGAATGTATCATGTAGTTCTTCTTTGGCATTTGTTGATATCTCACACAACCTCTTGGTGGGAAAATTGCCATCATGTATTAGTTCAAAGGGTTCAAATCGAACAACACTTTATGCCGGGAATTGTTTGACAACTAGAAGGTTAAATGGTCAACATCCATCCTCATATTGCAAGAAAGTGGAGGCTTTAGCTGTTAAACCACCACATAGAAGCCAGCAGAAGGAGTCAGAGATGCAACTAGGCCTAATACTTGGTATTGTTGGAGGTATTGTGGGAACTGCAGGGTTTCTGGTTCTTTTCATTTTGTGCATCTTCAAGAAGTCCAAAGCAGAAAAAGCAGACAGCAATTATAACCAAGACATCTCTGCTGATGATAAATTTTCTGTCCCTGCATATCCAACATCAAATATTAATGCAAGTAAGGACATTATTATTATTGTTATTATAAATTAACTTCTCATATCTTGATGTGTGTTTAAATTATACTGCATTTCTCTCTTTGAGAGATTAATATATATTTCACTTTGATCCATATTTATATAAACGAACTTGTTAGGGACATTTCTTCCTTTATGTGATTATTGACATTATTGAGAACTAGTTTTGAATCTCTATTATCAACTTTAAAACTTTTGAGTATAAATAGATTTTTTGTGAAGTTTCTAAGTTGATAATAAGGATGTCTAAAACTTCATTTCCTGAAGTTCTAAAATCAATAATCGAGCATTTAAAATTAGTTGTCATCGATATTAAATGTAACAGAGAAACAAAAAATGTTTTTGGTGGTTTATTTATTATTATTTATCACTACTAAGCGATTTGGTTACATTCAAATAGATTAAAATGTAGTACATTTCATTTCTCATTTTTTTTTTAAATTAGAGACAATATAATTTAAGCTTCTATTAGGGGAGTGGAATCAAATTTATTTACTTATATATTTTAATACGATATGATACAATAGACTTTGCTGTTGTTGTATGAAGATCATAATTTTGGTTCCTCATTGTGGTATACATGTTCCTTAATATTCTGTGTCTTTTATTTACTCATGCACGAATTGATTTTTTTCTCCTGTGGGAAATAGAACATGTTCCTCTGTCAACGAGACAACCTATTCTGGGATTCCCACCATACTCCATTTTCTCATTAGAAGAAATTGAAGACGCTACAAACAACTTTGATCCATCAAATCTTATAGCAGAAGGATCACAGGGACAGGTAAAAGAATTTTCATATCTCTATTACTTTCCTAATGATTATGGGGTCTCTACAAAGAGATGGAAGTATGGAACCCACAAGACCAAGTGGTAATGGCATTTACTCTTGCATTTTACACAGCTATATAAAGGTTGGCTCATAGATGGTTCAATGGTCGTGGTCAATTGTGTAAAACTAAAGCAGAAGAGTTTGTACAAAAACTGTGCTCCCACCGCACACAACGGAGATGGAGGAGCATCGCGTCGCCGCAGCGGAACGATCCTTCCAGACGTGCTACTCCGGCGAGGCGCGCCACGCCCTCGACCTCCTCCCTGACTGCTTCACCATCACCGACCCCTCCCTCCCCGGCCACCCCATCG